GCCCAGTAAAAAAAAATGTCCAGTACTCACCATTTAGTTCTCTCTCTTGCAAGTGTAAATTAAGTTGAAACTTGCTTGTAAGAACTGGCGCCACAAAAACGGACCAGTACAATTTGGCATCTTAGATAAGAAAGAGTACACGGGCCCCTATGGGTATAAAGATGGGTCCAGCAGCACACTTACTCTGAGTGTCAATCTACCATCTATCTGCTGGTCAGGTTAGGTGTTTGGCCTCCTGAGGTTCTATGGGGACGCCCGCCTCGTATTCGTCTTTCCTAGGAATTGAGGGACCGGCCCTGGCTTGACCCGCTGGAGTCAAGAGGCACAGAAGGGGGTAAAAATTGTACCTGGAAGTAGTCCTTTGTATTAAGTGTACACATAGACTTAGAGCTCTTTAAAGATTAAGCTGTCACTTGGTACCATTATTTTTTTCTATCTTTATTTTCTTTGTAACCATTTTTTTAAGATCTATATTTGCTAGCAGTTAAATAGAGCAATAGCCATTGTAACCATATGATTTATAAGCCTTAATAAACCTGTAATTGGTTAAGCTTTAACCTGACTCCTTCAGTTGCTGTAACAGAACCAAGCACAATTTAAAAACTTCAGCCGGTCATAAGGGACAGGTATAGGGGGAGCTTGAGCGTTGGATCGTGTCGCTTCCAGAGGACAGATCCGTTGGGGCATCTCTCAACCTCCCTGGCTGCCCACTGCGAAGGGATCCTGTATCCTAGCAGTTGAAATCTGAGATGTAATAAGCTTTTCCTATAAACTCTGGGACGTCTGTCAGCCTGCTGGCTGCCCTCCGCGACAGGACCCCGGTCCTAGCGGTAAAGACACAGACGTTAAACTTCTCGGGGCGCCCTTCATCCTCCTAGGCTGCCCGCTGCGACGGGACCTTGTGTTTCAGCAGTTAAAGACTTGGGTGTGACACACACACAAACACACTGCCCTGACTATCGGCTGACAGAGAGCCCCGAGGTTCCATGCCACATTCTGCGTCCAGGGAAGCGTGAGCATGCTGCTCTTCCCTTCCCCACAAGGAGTCCAGGGCAGGAGACCAAGCCCGGTGCTTGGTGGTGATGAGAGTCCCTTTACCCATCCCAGGAGAGCGGCATGGCCCAGGGCAGGAAGGTTAAATCTTGGCATGCTACTTCAGAAAGGTTACTGACTAGGGATGTAAGTGACTATCCGATAAGCAAAAGCTTATCGGATAATTGACTAGTCCCTCAACAAGTTTCCCCCCCCCCCCCCCCCCCCCCCTCCTGCTTCTATTAGAGGCAGCAAGGAGGGAGGAGCAGAGCCTGTGCTGGGGTGAGTGTTTAAAAGCTGGTTTCCCCTCCACCCCCTCCCAGCACGGTCTCTGCAGGGGGAAGGAGGGTAACGGGGACTGGGCACTGCACCTCTGCTTTTTAAATGTACTAAGAATAGGGTTGTCAAGCGATTAAAAAATTTAATAACGATTAAATGCACAACGCCGGGTTCCATGCAGCCCTGCCCCTTTGAAGTGCCAGGTCAACGTTTCCAAGGGGCAGTGCAAGGCATTCCGTGTGGCATTTCAGTGGAAACCGGGATCAGCTGGGGACTCCCCAGCTGATCCTGGGTTCCGGGTAAATGCTGCGGGGAGCCCTGGATCAGCTGGGGAGTCCCCAGTGGACCTCAGGCTCCATGGCAGCTGCCCCTTTAAAACTCTGCCTTCGTGCATTTGAAAGGGGCTCCATGGCAGTTGCCCATTTGAAATGCCACAGCCTCTGATCCCAGGCTCCCCGCAGCATTTTCCCAGAACCTGGGATCAGCTGGGAAAATGTGCGGAGGTAGCATTTTAAAGGGGAAATCACCACACAGCTAATCCCTGCTCAGCTGTGAGGTAGATGCCCCTTTGAAACGCCACCTCCACTTGAAACGCCACCTCCACTGAAGCCTGGGGTCAGCTGGGGAGTCCCCAACTTATCCCAGGCTCTGCGTTGCGCTGACCCTTTGAAGTGCCAGAGCAGCACTTCAATGGGTCAATGCAGCATTAAAGCCTGTGATTAACACATTTAAAAAATTAACGTGTTAATCCTGCTCTGCGTTAATTGCAGGTGTTAGGGCATGTGAATTAACAGGCCTAATTAAGAGCCTACTGACTTTTAATACATTTAAAAATCAGAAGTGCAGCGGTTGGGGGAGGGGGTATGAGCCAGGATAGCTGATTCCTGGCTTGAGCTGATTCTCTCCCCCTCACCCCTACTGCACACCAGCCATATAAATGCATTAACAGACTCAGAGATATTAAGAGCTGGAAATCAGCTGGGGCAGGAGCTAACCCTGCTGCAGCTTCCCCGCTTATTGACTAATTGATTACTCGATTAGACTAAATTTAACATCTCTTTTGCTGACCCCTGGTCTATACTGTGTAAAAAGCATAATCTGTAGTAGCTGACACAGAATCCATATTTTTAACATTTTATTTCTTCCCCCCGGCTTGGTTATCTTATTTATGTAATTTATAGTAATAGGACAAAGACTCAGTTTCTTTTTTCCATATTTTTAAAATAATATACAAACCAATAATTTGATGTAATGTTTGGGGAGATAAAGGAAATTTGGAGATTTTTTACAACGATATGTCATATAATGGTTGAAACTAAAAAAGTAAATGGTCACAACTATGATTTTTCATTGAAAGAATAGAACACACTCAATTTACTATAGAATAAATATCACCATAAAGTACATTTTATTTTTAGTATTCACTGTACACTAAATTGGAAACTTTCTTGAGAACTCCAGTGAATTAATACTGAAGTTATCAATCAGTCCCTGCTGCACATCATAATATATTAAATCCAGTAAAACTGTATGGAATGTGTGGGGAAGGGTAACAAGAGGTTTGACAACAGGCAAAGGGAAAATACAACACCCATTTTGAACACAGATAAAATCAGACCTGGCATATTGAACTGGCTGTGTCAGTGAAAAAGGGCTCCAAACTTCCTCCAGTGATTCTGAAGTAGAACAGAATCAACTTTGAGAACAGGGATTAGGTTTGAACAGTGAATCTCATAATTTAAGTCCTTCTAGAGTTTAGGAAATGTACCTCACATGGACCAAATTAAGGTTGTAAAAGTCTAGTCAAGTAACTACACAACTAGTCTCCTCCTGCTTCTTCCTGCCCATCCGCGCCCCCCCTCCCCCCCCACTTTGCTGCCTCTATTAGAGGCAGAAATGGGGAAAAAGCAGGAGCTGGCACTGGGGGAGAGCCAGCTTAAAAGCCACATTCCTGTAGCACCATCTCTGTGGGGGTGGCCAGGGAAGTAAAGGCATAGCAGGGGTCCAAGCGCGAGCTGGGAATCAGCTGTCCCAGCTCATGCCTTGTCCCAAATGCTGTGTGTTTGCTTTTAAAAGCTTTTAAAGTTATTTTTAAAGTTACAGACTAACATAGCTACCCCTCAGAGACATAAATATGAGTAAGACATTTTAGTGTTTGTGGTCCCAGATAAAACTAAAAACATTTTTAACACACAGTAGATTTTTTTCCAGTAGTTTCACTCCCCTCCTCCTCCATGATCAGATCCATGAGCCATCTAGTACAATAATCTCTGACAACAGCATCAGAGAGCTTTCAAGAAATCCCGCTTAGGCAGATACAGAATGAGCTCTCCCCCAGATTAGGTGGTCTTCTAATTTCTAATAGAGTTTGGCATTAAAGCTGGTAGCATGAGGTTTAACATAGGGATGTAAAATCCTGTTTAACTGGCTAACTGTTTAAACATAGTGTTTACCTGGTTAACCAGTTAAAGGAGCCTCTCCCCTCAGAGGCCGGGCTGAAGCGCTCACCCTGTCACAGCTGCCCCCATTTGGGGGCGGGGGATGGGCATTAATCCATTTACATCTCTAGTTTAATATATCCTCCAAGATGTGTTCAAATAAAAACCTAAAACATAACCCCCCCCCCGATATTCTTGTTATGCATATAAATATCTAAGCTCTGTCTCTTTTTTTTATTCAACATCATTATTAATGATCTATTTAAGATTTATGCAAACTATTTCTTGGTTTTCAATTTTGAATGTGTGTTGCCTTTCAATTTATTGGACTGTCCCCTTTCTACCAAGATAGGAAGAAAACAGAAATGTCTCATCAATCTCCTCTACTCCATTAATTGTTTTAGGAGACATCACAAAAGTATACAAGGTAAACAATCCTGACCCTCTCAATCTCCTTTTGTATGAAAGTGTTTCCATACTGTAATTTGTGACCCTTCTCTAACATCCCCCTAGAAAATCTCATAAAATATCCTTTTAAAATTGATTGGCTAAAGTATTTCAGTTGGGGTAAACTATAAGCACTGTATTTTTCTCAATCCTATTGCTTATGTGAACTCAGGTCCTGATCCTACAAAGACATACTTAATGACATACTTAATTTTAGTACAAGAAGTCCAATAGTGAGGTTGAGCATGCATGTAAGTATTTGAAGGATAA